TCTCTCTCTCTCTCTCTCTCTCTCTCTCTCTCTCTCCAACGGGCAGCAGCGGCGGGTGCCACGTCGAAACGGCCGCTTTGAAATTGCTCGGGCTTGTGTGAAACCCGCCACCCGAAAAACCTGCAGTGTCTCGTGTCCGGACCTCTAGGCCCTGTCCGGTGGGGTGAAACAACACTGAAAAATCACCCCATTATTTTCCGAGGGGCAGCCAGGACCCGATAGACGTCCTGGGCCGCCCCCTTTGTTTTTAATTTTTGCCCCAGGGGCCTCCATCCGGTCATCAGGACCGGACACCGGACACCGGACTGTCTGGAACCTGGTCCGGACGTCCGGACGGTTACCATGGTTTTTTGCCTGTTTGTTTTTTTGATGTTTGTATTATGAGCCTGCATTGTTTGTTTGCGAAATTTTCTACCACATCGCTTGTGGTGATGCGCCAAAAAACCCTGAATTTTGGGCCTTCTATTAACCATCTCTCATCGCCTGAAGCTCTGGCTATAGTCGTGGCTATGGCTGTCCATCTACTTCACCACTAACCTGTGAAGATATTGAACTACGGCCATTTCGATCCAGCGGTTCAAGGGTGGAGCCGTTGTTCCTGGGGGCATGGTCACGCCAGCGCGCGCTTTCCTGGATGTGCCCATAACGGATTCTAACCATGGAAATATCTCAGATTCATGCTCTTGTTTTTTTCAATTTTTCCCTTTTTCCCTTAGTGTGACAGTGCACCCGGATTGAAGACTGCGGACTTCACCCAAATAAAACACAGGCATTCTCTCTGTATCTCGACTGAACGTTGGCCGAAGTACAGCTATATCGAGTATAAATGACCCGATGTTCCAGGTTGTGTGCATCAGCCATAGCTAGGGAGTCAGGAGGTAGAGGTAGAGAACGGGTGAGGGAGCGCATTGTGGGAGATATGGTTTAGGAAGGGGGGCATAGCTCACCACGAGGAGGTAGAGAGTCCAGGTTGTTGTAGAGGCTGGATTATAGACAGTTGAGAGTTACCTTCGGCAGTCGACCATGTGGTAGAGGCCCCCTAAACTCCCTCCCAACCTACCAGTCTCCCACTATCGTACCTCATTGTCTACCACTCAGGATCATCACCCTCCGGTCTGGGGGTGACCTGACTTAACAGTGGTTGAAGTTACCAGGGCTAAGATGAGCCCGACACACCTGAGCGAGTCTTGCTGCCCTGGTACTTCAGGTGCTAGGCAAAGACGTTTCACTACAAGTCCCATAGGTGGAGCTATTTTTGTGTTCCTAACAGTGTATACTCAGCTGTTGTTACTGTTGTTGGTTGTTAGGTTGTTCATTGTGTACACTGTTGTTATTACTATGTTGTTGATGGTGAACTGAATATAGGAGGCAGGCAACCCAATCGATCCCGTACAGATCCCCCCCGACACAGGAACCCTACTAGCACCAGCCATAGACTGTACTAAGTCTCACTCTCATGAACTGTTCCTATTTCTATGGGTGGTCTGTAAGTCCTAGTTTTTTCAGACAAACATCAGCCATAGAGCGCACTAAGCCTCACTCTCATCAACCGTTGCATCCCACGGGCGAGCTGTCCTAAGGGGCAGCCCACATCCTCCTCCCCCCCCCCAAAGATCTCCAGCTAGCAACGGGTAGAGACTGAAGTTGTTCATTATTTGAATTTCCAGCACACAGTAGAGGAGTGCAAATGACCTAGTTCAAAATCGGCACAGACATTTTCTAGGGTTGTAGGTTTTGATCCAAGTCAAGATTCAGGGGTCAAAGGGAGAAAGAGAAGAATCATTTGGGTGAGAGAAGAGTGATACGAGGAGGAAGGGAGGAGTCGTTCAGGCGGAAAGATATGGGAATTGGACGAGTTGAGAGGGAGAAGGGGGTTCGATCAATGTGTGTGTGTGTGTGTGTGTGTGTGTGTG